CCTAGTGTTGAGCCGTTTATTGTTTGGTACGGTATTGTCTATTTTCTCTTAATGAAATACGTGCTACACGGCACGTTCGCGAAATAAAAGATGTACTCTATTGTGTCCATCTGACCATGTGAACCATTGGATCTTATTCAGTGTCACAGCGTAACTTTCCTTCAATATGGAACGTACAATACCGATCCAAACGGTATGCCATTCAATGCCTTATTGTCCGGGTACTTGTGGAAGTGTTAGACAAAAATATTTAGGATACCAATGTCAAATGTTAATGTCAGATTACAAAAATGTTGATCTTAATGTTGGCTTAAAAACTATAAACCATCTTTAGTATCTTTCTTTTTCTTAAGTGCTAATTGTCTAAACTGAAGATAAAAGAGGACGTTGTTCATAAAATCAACAGTTCACATCATATTTGTTGTGTCTACGCACTTAGAATATGAAACAACACTACGAATTGCTCCTTTCGATTGCAGAGTTTCTACTTCTAGACGTGCCCTAAGATTTGGCGAGAGGTTGACCAAACACAACAACAAAAAGTCAAAAACGTCCAAAAGCTCGGGTGGTGATTCCTAACCTGCTTACCTGCCCTGGCACGACAACAGCAACAGGGCACCCAATTCAACAAGTTTCGACCTGCCAAGAACAGGATCGTCACTACAAATCATAGCACAACCACTTTCGATGTGAAGACACGCTCTCGCCAGTCAACCGAAGCCAGCAATGGCGGCAGCTTATCATCACGCCGCCGCGCGCGGCCTTGCCCTGGCCCTCGTGGCGGCGGGGGTCCTGGCGTGGCAGTGCGCGGCGCAGCAGACGCCGTCCGGTCCGGGCTGCATGCCGGAGCTCGTCAGCCTGAACCCGTGCATGGACTACATGTCCGGCAACGAGACGGCGCCCGACGGGCCCTGCTGCTCGGCCGTGTCGGGCATGCTGCGGTCCAGCCCGGGCTGCCTCTGCATGGTGGTCGGCGGCACGGCCGCGTCGCTCGGCGTCGCTGTCGACGGCGACCGCGCGCTGCAGCTGCCCGCGGCGTGCAAGGTCCAGGCCCCACCTGCCAGCCAGTGCAACGGTAAGCGGTCCTGACAATCGAGGGAATCCAATGATCGTGGTAGTTTCGCACGGGCACGCCGCACGGCGGAGAATTGAGAATGGCGAGCTAAAATTGCTGAGCGCTTTTGCAGCCGTGGGAGTTCCACTGCCGTCTCCGGCGCCGGGGACGACCACACCCGGGGTTCCAGCCGCCGAGGCGCCGTCTAACGCCAACGTCACCCCTGCAGGTACAGGACTAGCCGAGCCGTACATACTTTGAATAGATTGGGTGAGCCCAAGGAGACGTTGTCTTAACGGTTAACAATGAAGACTTGAACTCTGAATTTTTGACACTGTAGGGTCTGGGTCGAAGGCCACACCAGCATCCACCCTTCCATACTCTGACGGAAACGATAGCAAACCAGGAACGTTCTTCGTCTTCGCCGCCGCTGCACTGGCGCTGCTCCATCGTTTCTAAGACGGCGAGAGCTTCTTGTGTTCGTCATGGACGGTCAATTTGCACGGTTGGGAGGTACTTGTCTTGTCGCTCCAGGATTCAGAGGGACAGAACACTCTTGCGCTGATGTGCACTCGGGCACTTTCAATTAGCGATCACGCTAGCTGTTTGTTCACGCGTCGAAGCTCCATGGAGGATGTGATTTGTAGTCTCTCAGGATTGATGTCATGACGACGACGGCCTGTTCGCTTGTCTTATAATCCGTATTTTTCAGTTTGTTTTTCAACCGCAACAATATTTTTCTCTCCTAACAAATCAACCAGAACAGTATTTCGACTTGTTTTTTCAGCGAAGCGAATGGAGCCGATGTATTTGGCTGTTAATTGAACAGGTCAATCGGATTTCCGTATTTCCAAGACTCTTATATAGAGAAGTAAAGAAGTCACAGTCAAGTTGACCGTTTGACTTACCTGTATCTGTATGCAGCCACGAGCCACACCTCACGCCTTCCTTCTCCCGGCTTCCTCGTTCCTTCCCGCAAGAAGGCGATGGCTCATACCACATGTGCGACACCAATTTGCATAAGCTAATCTACACCAAGCTTGCCAATCAAAATTCTCCTTCTCTCTGGTCAAAGTCAGACGAAGTTGCCTGCCTCATCCACTCGAACTGGAAGTATATGAACAGAGGCGAGCCATCTGTCAGAGCCCAAGAAAAAAGCACTGCCGCATCGAGACATCTGTCAGAGCCCAAGAAAAAAGCTCAGCAATGGAGGCCACGGCGACGCCAAGAACCCAAGAAGAAGTCAAGGCCGGCACGGCGAAGGTAACCGTGGGCGAGGTGACGCTCCGGAAGTTCGAGCTGTCCGATGTGGACGCCATGATGGCGTGGGCGTCGGACCCTGAGGTGGCGGCCTTCTGCCGGTGGGAGCCGTACGAGTCGACGAAGCCCCTGCTGGCGTTCCTGCGCGACACCGTGCTCCCGCACCCGTGGTTCCGCGCCATCTGCGTCTCCGGCGCCGTCGTGGGCGCGGTGTCCGTGTCCCCCACGTCGGAGCGCTGCCGCCGGGAGCTCGGCTACGTGCTGGCGCGCGCGCACTGGGGCAAGGGCGTGGCGACGGCGGTCGTGCGGCGCGCGCTGCGGGACGTGTTCGCGGACCTGGAGCCGGAGGGCCTGCGGCGCGTCGAGGCGCTGGTGGACGTGGGCAACCTGGCGTCGCAGCGCTTGGCGGAGAAGGCCGGGTTCCGCCGCGAGGGCGTGCTGCGGCGGCACTACTGGCACAAGGGACGCGCCAGGGACATGGTCATGTACAGCTTCCTCTCCGACGACCCCCTCCCCGAATGATCCCCGTGCCGGATTCCTCCATGCATCATCTCGATCTCAGCTCCTAGCATCTCATCTTTCGATCTATGGAGTAGAACTTTTGGTGTATATTCACAATTCTTGTTACATACGGAACAATATGTACCGATGCAATCATGTAAAAGTGGACCGTGCCAGCATGTTTTTGGCTGGTGTCTATGTTTGGGACCAAAGATTCGAAGAGTTGCTGTTTGGTACCGCACGTGGTGCTTTGCATCTGCTCCAACACCAAGAACACCTGCTTCGCCGCTTGGCGCCTCGAGGAAAGCTTCTCGACGACACGTACGTGTCTATGAGCGTGATGCCATACCAAATGCGACAGGTGGAAGCGATTGCCCAGAGAACAAACACTGATCAATCCAACACGTCACTATGTTCCTAATCCAGATAAACTAAGTGCTGGCGTGGGGCCTACACACTTATGTGATTGTGTGCCCCACCACCACTTTGATTTGATTAGTGTGGCTGAAAGCCGGAAAGCTGAGACAGGACGCAAAGCCTCCACTAGTGACTGAGCATCACCGGTCACCACCAAGCAAAAGCAACGCGCCGGACCGGAAGCTCAGAGATGGAGCAAGAAGCGCCTGCCCAACCGGGGTCCGTGCCCGCGGTGACGCTCCGGCGGTTCGAGCTCGCCGACGTCGACGCGATGATGGAGTGGGCGTCTGACCCCGAGGTGACGGCGTTCATGACGTGGGACGCCTACACGTCCCGGGAGGCTGTCCTCGCGTTCCTGCGCGACGCCGTGCTGCCGCACCCATGGTTCCGCGCCGTCTGCCTCGGCGGCGTCGGCGACGGACACGGACCCCACCGCCCCGAGGGCGCGGTGTCCGTGACGCCCACCGACGACGCGTGCCGCGCGGAGCTCTGCGTCCTGCTGGCGCGCGCGCACTGGGGCAAGGGCGTGGCCACGGCGGCGGTGAAGCGCGCGGTCGCCGCGGCGTTCGGCGACCTCCCGGGCGTGGAGCGCGTCGAGGCGGTCGTGGACGTCGACCACGCGGCGGCGCGGCGGGTGCTCGAGAAGGCCGGGTTCCAACGGGAGGCCGTGCTGCGGAGCTACTGCGTGGTCAAGGGAAGGGTCAGGGACATGGTCGTCTACAGCGTCATCTCTACCGACCCTCTCGTTGAGTGACCAAGACTCGAGAGGTGTGACAACGCGTGGCTCGTGCGTTTCAGCGTGCGAACTAGCAACTGGAGCAAATTTGGTGCCGAATGCATTGGCAGAGGTCGTACCACTTGTCCATGCCCGATGGACCTGGACTTGGCAGTGCGTTTTGATGCAACCAGTGCCTTTGTCTGGTGGCAATTTCGTCAGCATCAGACGACGCATCGCGCCAGCCAGCGACCAGCGTAGTACGTGTCACTGTGTCCCTCAAGGCTGAAGATTTGTTCAGTGAATTTTGTTGTTTTGCTTTATGCGTGATGCATGAAACTCGCAATGGGAATGAACGTCTGTTTTCTGGTGGACATGGGCTGTGCCTGTGCCAGAAGTCTGGTGTCTTTGGCTCACCTGTCAAAGTGTCAATTCGTAATGGAGCTCAGTGGTGTTTTCTGTTTTCTGTTTGGCACCGCACGTGCTGCTGCAGAAACACCTGCTTACCAGATTGTGTGCCCCAATTTGAATGTCGTGGTAAAACCAACGCACCCATAAACAAACAAATAAAAGAAGAGACCTGAGTAACGGCTAGAGCCAGGATTTACACCGTGCTATTCTGAAACAAATCCTTTTCAGTACCGCAGAGAAGATCCACCACGGATCTAGGGCGTGGTCAACGACAGGCAGGTCCTATCATCCACACGGATGTAACAAGATTCAAGAGTGTGGTGAGACCATTACATATAGGCTAATATATCTGCAACAAATGGATTTGCATATACTATTCCATAACGTGGCTGGATGACCCAAAGTTGTGCAAGAAAACGAAATGGCATTGCTGCTTGCAGACCACCAACAAGCATCATCTCAGCTACGAATTACAGACTTATTACTCTTCTTCCGCTACTGATCTCCAAGAAGACACACTTCTTCTTGGAATTATTAACCGAACTTGTTTTTCCCGGACCTCCATTGATCGATCGATATATAATAACCAAAGAAAAACAAGGCTCAAGAGGACACGATGCCAAGCACAATGCAGAGGTATCATCATGCTTCCCATCCCCTGAGGACGGTGGCGCGCGCGACGCGGTTGACGCCCAGCGTGAAGGCGCCCATGCGGAGGTCACAGTTGTGGCTCCGGCACATCTCCTTCACGTCCCCGAAGGCGCGCGTCATGTACGTCCGGAGCTCCGCGTTCACCTTCTCCTCGTCCCACATGAACCCCTGGATATTCTGAACAATCCAAAGCACGTGCCCACTGCCACGGTTCAGTTTACATTACAAGTGTTCTGTAGTCTGTGTGGAAGCACAGGAACACTGTGCGGTGACAGATGGGCAGCTCAAAGGAGAAGAACTACGGACCTGAACCCACTCGAAGTAGCTCACTGTGACGCCACCAGAGTTGGCGAGTATGTCGGGGAGGATGAGGACGCCTTTCTTTGACAGGATCTGGGGATGGGATGGAATACAGGGGGAGGGATCAGAAAACATTGCAGAAAACAGTCGGTTTCTTCACTGTCACTCTCTCTGAAACTGTTAAGGTATCAACTTGCCTCGTCTGCCTCTGGGTCTGAGGGGTGATTGGCAGCCTCGATGATGTACTTTGCTTTTATGTCGTTAGCATTATCCCTGTCAAAAAAATGGTGCAAGTGAACAATTTATTCAGGCCTGAAGTCGCAGGAACAACTATTATAGGATATAATAACTGAAAATAATCGACTTTTCAGTAGGGTGAAAATGACTGCAATGAGAAGAATTTTACTTATTTATGACTCCCCCAAGCGCTGCTGGGATGAGGACGTCGCACTCTTCAGTGAGCAATGAGTTTGGATCGATGGCATCTCCCCCATTGAAGCCCTTGATCCCTCTGTTCTCCGCCGAGTGCTTCACTAGCTGGGCAATGTCAAGGCCATTGACGTTTTTGACAGCGCCTGTGACATCACTGATAGCAATCACCTTGCCACCGGCTTCATTGATCAGCTGAGCTGCCCAGGAACCAACGTTACCGAATCCCTGAAAAGGGTGAACAAGGCACCTTTTACTCAAGAGATAACCTTTGCAGATAAAATGTTTAGGTGTGACTGATTTTCAATGATAAACTGACAAGGTAACCTTAATCATGAATTGTTCTTGTAACCAGAGCCGAAAGGCACATATTATACAATTGATGGAGTACGAAATTTTCTCTGATGTGAATTTTTTAAAAGGTAAGACTTAACCTACACATCATTTACCTGTATGATGAAACGCTGGCCTGCAATGCCTTTGTCATGCTCTGCAAGCAAAGCTTCAGTAGCAAACAGAACTCCCCTTCCAGTAGCTGCATCTCTTCCCAACGATCCTCCAAGGTCCTGTGTGTTGAGCAGGAAATTCACAATACATGCAAGATAATGAGAAGGTAAGCCAGCATCCTCTGAAGAGTATACTGAGTATACTGTCCAAATAATCATTATTCCTGCTAAACACGTAATCTTGTTGCATCCTAGATAAATTCCAATGGATTGTGCTTGATAAAATTCCTAATTTGACCACCTTTTTAGAAATCTTCACATTATTTTACGATTTTGATCTGGAAACATATTTTTTCAGTACATATATGTGTTGAAACTGCGATATAGATAGTTACTTACAACAGGCTTTCCTGTCACAACAGCTGGTGAGTAACCATGGAACTTCGAGTATTCATCAAGTATCCATGCCATTGTCTACATCCATAAACAAACAAAATTGGCCATATTAAAATAAACATATACAGATAACTAATTCTCATCAAAGTCATTTATGAAATAATATTTTTGTTCAAAAAAATATGAAATAATATATAAAAGAAAATAACCTGTGAGTTGGTGCCCATATCTGGAGCTGGAATGTCAGTATGGATGCCAATTAAGTCATGGATTTTCTGAGTAAAAACTCGGGTAAGCCTCTCAAGCTCGGAGATGCTCAGGTCTCCAGGGCTACATCCTATTCCACCTTTAGCTCCTCCATATGGTATGTTAGCCACTGCTGTTTTCCATGTCATCAGTTGTGCCAAGGCATTGACTTCATCAGGGTCAACCTGAGTTAAAGAATTTTAAATGTCAGGACCAGATTTCACTAAGGGATTTCCAGGTGTCTTAAATAAAGAGGAAAATAAATTTGAAGGAAATGAATAGAATCATATACCCATATAACTTGGATATTGTGAGTTGTCCCTAAGTAGATAGTGGAAATCCAATATTTCAGCAATACATGGGATTCCTAAAAACTAAGAATCTATGCTTAAGGACCATTTCATCTCTTTATGCTCAAGGAAATAGAGCCAGAATGCGACCCCATATTTTCTGTTGTTCCCAGTTTTCAATGTACTTATACTTGGTCTCAAGAAACAATCCAATACACTTTTGTTTTTCATTTGTTCAAGGAGATATCTCAAAACTAACATGATCCACTGAGATATGTTTGTGTATGGCAGATTTGTGCTTAAGGAAATAGAGCCAGAATGCAACCCCATATAGCTCAGATATTGTTTTGTTGTTCCCAGTTTTCAATATACTTATACTTGGTCTCAAGAAACAATTCGATATACTTTTGTTTTTCATTTCTTCAGGGAGATATCTCAAAACTAACATGATCCACTGAGATATGCTGCCTATGGCAGATTCCTGAAAAAAACTAGAATTTATACTTAACGATTGTATGAAGCCTTTATGCTTAAGGACCATTTCAGGTCGGCAAAGGTGTGGAAAGAATCAAATGCTGACTAGTGTTACAGATAACAAAAGAATGGAGCAACATATTTGCTAACCTCATGGTGGTATCTGATTCCGCCCTTCATAGGTCCCCTAGCGTTGTCATGTTGAACCCTAAATCCAACATAGGATGCCAAAGTCCCATCATCTTTTGGGATTGTGCATTCAACCTGAAACCACAAATTGCTAGTTACTCAAAAGTTGAACATACTGTTTCAGATGAGGGGAAAGCCCAGAAGAACCTTATAAAATACTGATCCTGGTTAAGTAATGTTTTGTGTGTGTGTGTGTGTGTGGGGGGGGGGGGGGGGGGGTCATCATCAGGAATACAGGAACCACCCTGAGCAAGTGAAACAGCGGGAAACAGTTTACCAGATCTAAAAGAACTGTGGTGGTTTTATCACCTTGATCTCCCTGAATGGAATGAGCAAGCTCTTCTCCAGCTTGGAGTCGAGGCCCAGCAGCTTAGCTGCCTGCTTGAAGTTCCTGCTGGTTGCTGCCAATGCATTCATCCTGTTCGACGAAATTTCCCTTCAGAAACACACCTGAAATTGAATCTGGAAGCCCAATGGAATGAGCAAGAACCCAAAAGGCCTTACTACAAGAGCTAGAAGAGGCATAAACAAATCAAACCTGTTCAAGAAAACCAAGGGTATATTTTTCTATCTTCCCAAGGAACAACAAAATATAGTTACCGAGGAGAGGCTGTCCAAGCTCTGGAGGAGTTTCAAGGTTAGCAGGTCTACTATATATAGCCGCTTGGTGAGGTTTGGTTTGGTCAAGAAAGTACAGAGATGATAGTAGTGACAAATCGCGGTTACTTCCCTATAGCACAACTTTATTAACTTTATATATACAGCATACGGGTGATTGGGAACTAAAATAACTGCACGCGTTCGTTTCTGGTAGAATAATCTGCTGTCAAGCTATGTGAAGGTACCAATCCTTTACCATTGTTGTGTTGGAGGCTGATCTCTTTTCAGGGATCTGGTCATGAATTCATGATTCAGGCAGTCCCAAAGAGGTCAGGCACTCACTGCTTCTTTAGTTCTTTTCGTATAAAAGCATCCAGCATTTAAGCCGTAAAACCAGTAAAAATGGGTGCTCAAGAAAGTCTCTCTCCACTGCAGCAATAGAAATATGCCCACTTGGTTAGATCTACAAATTGTACTTGGCCTGGTGACATAGGTCAGTACTGATTGTACAGCCAGTGTCACATGCTGAGTATTCAATTGCTGATTTTCAGCCCGTGAAGAGACATAAGGAGATTTTCTTTTAAGTAATAAAGCAAATAACTAAGGCTGCCTTTTTATTCTAATGAACTGGAACCAGATGTGCCAATTTCTATTTATAAAGGAGAGGAGTTACGTACAAGAGACCTAAAGAAACTGTACAGGCAAAGCAAAGAGAAACAGCCACAAGGCAAAGAACTACCGAGTACTACGGTTGTCATAGTACAAATATGGCCAACATAATTCAAAAGATATGCGTTATCGCTAAAAAAAAGAAATCAAAAGGTATGCGTATGCAGCGCTTCTACATGTTTGCTAGTGTACAGTTTCGCATGGTTGCCATTTAGTTAGACGCAATTATGACTAATGCAGCGAAAAAGTTTCACTATAAATGTTACTGACAACATTATCTGTGCAGATTCAGAAATACCACGGAGGATATTCAGTTTTGAAAAGCACATGGCTGAGGCCGTGGAATTATTGAGGCCTTCAGTGTTGCATCTGTTAGTATAATATACCAACTAAATCACATATTTGCCATGGATTGGAAAGTTGCTTTTGCCCTCAAATCAAGGCTTATATTCAGAGTTCAGACAATGCATTACACATGACATAGCCATATCTGTACTGTGCAGCATGTGTAGCATATGCCAATATAGGCCAAACAATGTGCTGGCAAGATCACATGGCCTGAGTTAAGCTGGGCAAAGTCATTTTAATAAACAGACCTATATATTTGCCTAAAAAATAACATATATACCTGTTAGAGTAGTGTAACGCGTGAGCTTGCTCCCATAGTTATAGGATAAGATCATAAGATAGCATTCGTGATTGGGTTCGCCAACCCGATAGACGAGAGCATATTCTAAAAGAACAAATCGAGAAAAGAAGATATGCTCTGTCCTAGACCCTTGCTCTCAAGAGTAAGACGAAATGCAGCAAAATTCAAGCTTCTAACTTTAGGATGCCTGTATTATGATACCATTTGTTCTTGTAGAGTTCTAAAAGAATATTGAAATAAGCTCTCGTAACTCAAGAGTAGTTAGGTGCTTGGTGTTCGGTATTGGCTCCTCGCCACTATCGCAGTGAACTTTGTAACATTTGGTTACCTCCCTCTTAATGAAAAACGGGCTGAACACCCGATCTAGAAAAAAAAAACTCATAAGGCGAATTTGAGAGATTCTTCCAAATCTTCTGGTTCTCTGCTCACTATAAGCTAGGAGGGCATTCTCATATATATGATGAAAGAAATCATTCAAACGCAAGCATGATCCTGCAGGTGCAGACATCTGAAGAAAGATAAGGTGATGTCTATATATTTATTTCACAAGTTTATTCAAAATGATACGACAAAGTACTATAAAAACTAAAAATGCAACATGTGAAGCCAATGAAACATGATATATAATATACAATTTGAAGAAAAAGGAGCAACACACGTTGATCACATGATGCACCAATCATGTAAACAGAAACAAACAGTGATCAATCAATAAGACCAAATTCTCATCCTCTTCAGTGAGTTGAGAAGACACGCAGCTCTCAATCACTTTCGAGGGGGGAAAAAGACGAAAGTCCCCTTTGTTAAAATAGAACCGGAAGCTTTGTTTCAACCTCTCGAATTAATCTCAGTAGCAAATTTTGGTTGACCTAAATAGTTCAGTCCACCACTGTATTTTGTTTCAGGGTGTTGATCACTGCAATTATAATAAATTAAGACCGGAAGCTTTCAGACTGAATCAAAGACGACGACGACGACGCAGCCGCGAAACAAGCAGAGGAGAAAGGTCTTACACCCAGGCAGGCACTCAGCTAGCACCTAGCAGCGGAGGCCGGCGGAAGAAGCGACGTGGGCGAGGAATTCCACCACCGAGTGCGCGGTGCGTCCATCCGAGCGGGGGATTACGCGGGGTTTTATAGGGGGAAACCCACTCCTGCGACGCATCATGCATTGAAAATACTTGTGCCCGGCCGGGGCAGCCAAGATACGGGGGGATTTGGAACTGGTGCCAAAGCGAGCGCGAAGGCTCCTCCGGCCGGCGTGGAGGAGAAGTAATTGGGCGATGACGCCAGGAGCTCGCAATTGGCAGAATTGGATCCACCTGGGATTCCAATTCCCAACTGCTTTGGGGGTGGGTTGGGTTCGGTGCGTGCGTGTCTCTCATTCCATTTCCATCTTGTGTTTTTCTCTTCGATGATGATGATGATGATGAAGAGAGGGCCGCCGCACGCTTTGTTTCCTCCCTCGTTCGTCGATGATCCGACGGCTGCGTTTGGCCTATTTTTCCGGCTTTTTCCGCTGGAAAGGCACGCCGCAAGAGGAATCCAGTTTCGTGATGACACGGCATTCCAACTCTTTAATCCGTCGCCGCAACTTCTGTGAAGCGATCCGATCTCTGTATAAACCATCGGTATGTACTACTCTACTAGTCTACTATCTACTGGCGTGTTAGCCCCTTTAATTCACTCAACTAACTATTAATTGTATAAACCTGATCTAACAAGGAGTAGACGCAGGATGAAGCTGAAAACTACCGGCTATAACAAACAATTGTCTATTGCATGTTAACCTCCATTTGAGTCCACACAACTAACATTATTTGTGTTAACTAGAAAAAACCCATAATAATTAATTGTTAGCTGGGTGGTAGTTAAAAACATTAGCTGACGGTCGAAACAGGCCTTAGCTAATTTTTAGCAGCTAATTGTTGGTCACGTGGCACGTGGGATCAGCTAAGAGAAACCAACCAGTTGTTAGTTTGGTGGTAGGTAAGATATTAACTGGTTTTTTATTAACTAAGGATCTAAACACGACCTTAGCTACTCTCTCCATTTTAAATTATAATCTAGATATATTATTTTTACTATGCAGTGTATAAATCTAAGTATATAGAAAAAAAAATATGTATCTAGAAAAAACAAAGAGTTAAATGCACCGTTGGCCCTCAAACTTGTAAGCATGTGTCACTTAGGTCCATAAGTTTTAAATATGCATTTCTGGGTTCCTAAATTTGTTAAGTGGTGCACAACTGATCTATGTCAGCCATATGGATATTTCTTGCTGATACGGTACACTGATGTGGCATATTTTTCTATATTTAAGCGCTCCCTTTTCCTTTTCACTCACGAATAAATTCTTTCTTCTCCTTGCTTCCCTCTTCTCTCATGGCGACTGCAGCCCATAGACAGTTGCGGTGTCGAACGGGCTAGTGCCGACATGAGAGAAGAGAGAAATAAGGATCCATTCATGTGAGAAGAGAGAAGAAGAGGAGTTAAATATAAAGTATCATGTCATGTTAACATGCCACGTAAACAAGAAATACCCATGTGGTTGTTATGAACCTGTGGTGTCCCCATTTAACAAGTTTAAATTAAATGTATTTTTAAAGTTCGTAGACCTAAATGACACGTCCAAGTTTGAAGGTCACTGGTGCAATTTAACTCAAAACAAAACATCTTAGAAGGAGTATTTTTTTATCAACTAATTGTTTGCATGGGATTCAAACAAAGCCCTTAGTCTAGCCGTGTTCATCGAGGAATTGAAATGCCTCCTGGTGGGTGTGATCAACGTGCACAATCACGATGAATCATGTGTCTTGGGACAAATCTCCATCACCAACGCAAAACGGGAAACACATACACACGGCGAACCGCAAGATGCGGCCTGCAATGCTAGTTGGCGCAGTCGGACTCCAACATCCTCACCGACTACACAACTGTTAGATTTAGAATTTACACACAAGATTTTTTTTTCTTTTAGTAAGTAGATAGATATTACTACACTACAACTGCATCCTTGTCTTATGGATGAAGCATCATGCTGCATCACATCCCCCCTCTTTTCTTGTGTCATGGATGAAGCATCATGCTGCATCACATCCCCTCAAACAAAAAAAAGGGTAGGTTCTTCTTTTGAGCATAAAGGTCGGTATCTACGACGGCGGTAAAAGTTCCGAACCTTGCTGCATCAACCTGCACTTGAGTCGCGTATGTCACACACTGTTCACCATCACCGGATAGCAAATGTGCTAGTACGTTGACCCCATTGTTTACCAAGACCTCTACGATTCGCTAAGCGCAAATTATTCGGCGGACTGGATGTCCATTAGGACTACACTTGCGTGCAAAAGAAAGCGCTCGGCGTTCCTTTCGGTTATGGTCGAGCAATATTTTACAGCGCAGTGGGCTAAAGCGAAAACAGCAGCCCGTCTCGAGCTGCAAGGCAATGCCAATCATCGTGCGCAGGCCACGGGCAGACGAAAAGGGGGGCCCTAGACGCG